AAAAAAAAAAAAAAACCAAAAAAAAAAAAAAAAAAAAAAAAAAAAGATAGCCCCACTTGGATATCTCACATGCACTGTAAACTCAACATGTCTAAAATTAATTAGCTGCACCCTCTTAGCACTACATCACCCATACCTGCTTTTCCTCCTATGTGCCCAGGTCATTAAATGGCACAGTGTCCTCCCAGTTATGCAAATAAACACCCAGGGAATTCTTCTTAATATCCCCCTCTCATTCACCTCCTACATTCAATCAGTTAACAAGTTCTGGCTTCTTTACCTCCTAAATAATTCCAAAATCCATCTAGTTCTCTCCAGTACCAATATCATGATCCTAATATAGATAATCAACATCTCTCCCTTGCATGTCTAAGCTCACTACAGTCTATTTTTTAATTATCAACCTAAATATACTCTTTTTAAGATGCAGGTATGGATATGTTATTCTTTAAAAACTTGCCAGTTAGCTCAGTTGGTTAGAGCATGGTGCTAATATGTTATTCTTTTTTTTTTTTTTTTTGGAAACCAAGAGAGTTGAGATTTTTCTTTTATTGAAGTGTATTAATTATACTTATACATATTTGTAAGGTATGGGCTTATATTTCAACACAGTTATACAATGTGTGATGATCAAATCAGGGTAATTAACATATTCATCATTATAAAATATTTCTCTGTGATGAGGACATTTGATCTCCTCTCTTCTAGCCATTTGATAACAAGTAGTAAATTATTGTTAATTATAAATGCCTAGCTCAACTGTACACCAATAAGACTTATTTTTCCTATCTAGCTGTTTTGTGTCCATTAACCAAGCTCTCACTATCTCCCCACCCCCTTTTCCTTCCCCACTTCTAGTAACCACAGTTCTGCAGTCTCCTTCTGAAAGCTCAACTTATTACGTTCATTTGTTTGTTTCTAGCTCCCACTTACAAGTGAGAACATGTGGTATTTCTCTTTCTGTGCCTGCTTTATTTCACTTAACATAATTTTCTCAAAGCTCATTCATGCTGCCACAAATGGCAGGATTTCGTTCTTTTTTATGACTGAGTAGTATTCCATTGTGTATATATGCCACATTTTCTTTATCCAATTGTCCGTTAATGGACATTTAGATTGGTTCCATATCTTGGCTATTGTAAATAGAGCCATGATAAACATGGGAATGCAGGTATCCCTTCAACTTGATGATTTCCATTCCTTTTGTTATATACCCAGTAGTGGGATTGCTGGATCGTGTATATGGCAGTTCTATCTGTAGTTGTTTGAGAAATCTTCATTCTGTTTTCCATAATGGCTATACTAATTTACAATCCCACCAACAGTGTAGAAGGGTTCCCCTTTCTTGGCATCCTTGCCAGAATTTGTTATTCTCTGTCTTTTTGATAATAGCCATTCTAACTGGGGTGAGATGATATCTCATTGTGGTTTTGATTTTCATTTCTCTGATGATTAGTGACATTGAGCATTTTTTCATATACCTGTTAGCCATTTATATGTCTTCTTTTGAGAAATATCTATTCAGCTCCTTTGCCCATTTTTTAATCTGATTATTTTGGTTTTTACTATCGAGTTGTTGGAGTTCCTTATATATTCTGGATATTAATCCCTTGACAGATGCATAGTTTGCAATATTTTCTCCCATTCTTCAGGTTGTCTTTTTGTTCTGTTGATTGTTTCTTTTGCTGTGCAGAAGGTTTGTAGTTTCATATAATCCCATTTGTTTATTTTGTTGTTGTTGCTGCTGCTGCCTGTGCTTTTGAGGTCTTACACATAAAATCTTTGCCCAGTCCTACGTCCCATGGAATTTCCCCTTTGTTTTCTTGTAGAAGTTTTATAGTTTCAGGTCTTACATTTAAGTCTTTAATCCATTTTGAGTTGATTTTTGTATATGGTAAGAGACAGGGGTCTAGTTTCATTCTTCTACACATGGGTAGCCAGCTTTCCCAGCACAATTTATTGAAGAAGCTGTCCTTTCCCCAATGTATGTTCTCAGCACCTTTGTCAAAGATCAATTGGCTGTAAGTACGTGGATTGGTTTCTGGGTTCTCTATTCTGTTCCATTGGTTCATGTGTTGTTTTTATGACTGTACCAGGCTGTTTTGGTTATTATAGCTTTGTAGTATAATTTGAAGTCAGGTAGTGTAAGGCCTCTGGCTTTATTTTATTTTATTTTATTTGCTCAGGATTGCTTTGGCTATTCAGGGTCTTTTGTTGTTCCATATGAATGTTAGGATTTTTTTTTCTATTTCTGTGAAGAATGTCATTGGTATTTTAGTGGGGACTGCATTGAAACTGTAAATCACTTTTGGTACTATGGACATTTTCACAGCATTAATTCTTCCAATCAATGAACATGGAATATCTTTCTAATTTTTTGTGTGTTTTCTTAATTTCTTTTAAAATTGTTTTGCAGTTTTCTTTGTAGAGCTCTTTCACCTCCTTGGTTAAATTTATTCCTAGGTATTTTAAATTTTTGGTAGCTATTGTAAATGCTCTTACTTTCTCAATTTCCTTTTCTGCTAGCTCATTGTTGGTGTATAGAAATGCTACTGATAGTTGTATATTGATTTCGTGATACATTATTCTTTTGATTACAACTTGGCAGGGGCTTCCCATTGCCAGGCTCCTTAATATGCCTTACAAGGCTCTTTATAATCTGGCCCCTGACCCCATATCCAGCTTCATTTCTCATCACTGCCCCTTCACACTCCATGCTCCTGCTATAAAGAACTTTTTAAAATTCTTAGATATGCTTTCTTCTCTTTTCCCCTGAGACTTTGTTCATGCTGGTTTTTGTGTCTGGAACAATTTTTTCCTTACTTTTTACCATCATCTCTACCAGATTAACTCCTATTCAGCCCTCCAGCAAGACTCAGTATCTGTGTCACTTTCCCCATGTAGGGATCACATCTGTCTGTGTATCTCTAGCATTTGGCAGTGCCTAGCACGTAAGAGGCACTAAATAAGAATTGTCTAAATATTTTACAAAACATAAAATAAGCAAAAAACTGAGTTGCTTGGATTGAAAGCATTCCTGGAGCCTGAATGTTGTTCACATGACTCTCCTTCAGTCCCCTCTACTCCTACTACCAACTGCATTGCCTCCTGTAGAACCCTGAGACTCAGTAGAATGCAGTTTGGAAACCATTGTGCAAGGATAAAATACAGAATCCTCAAAGTGACACATATGCCCTCCATGATGATCTAGCCCCTTACTATCTTTCCAGATTCATTTCTTTTGCAACTATGCAAGGTACTTCATGCTACTGCAATATTGAAGTGTATGTGGCTCTCCCCACCTCCCCACACACACACAGCCACACTGTTTTTCATCTTAATGCTTTAGGTTCATTCTGGACCCTCTACCTAGAATGGCTATCCTCTTTCTATCCCCTTCTTTCTCCTGTCTAACTTATTCATTTTTTGAAACTTAGCGTAGGCATCAACTCTTTCAGGAAGCCTTTCCTGAAACCACCCATCCAACCCCAGACTAGATAGATGTCACTACTGGATGGTCTCATAATGTTTTATGCATATCTCTGTTTACCTAGCAAGTTATTTTATAATCAGTTCGTGTGGGTGCCACTTTTATTACACTGTGAACTCCTTGAGGGAGAGACTAATTTATTCATCTCTATATCCCTAGTGCCTAACATAGTACTTCATCCATTTAGGTACTTGGTAAATGTTTATTAATGAATGAACGGATGACTACATGTATGTCCCTGGACTTTTCTCAGCCCACTATTGTATTTCCTCTGTACATTTTCCTTGAAGAATTTCTTTTATTTTCATGTTTTCAGTTAGAAGTAATCAAGATGGTGTTATGTCTAGGGGACTGTGTAATCGCCATATCCTGCATATCTTGGCCCAGACGTCAGCAACTCATTAGTATGAAATTTCCAAGATTGAAAATACAAACGATAATGGCAAATGAAAGCAAAGTGGCACTTTGTTAACTAGGCTTTTGCCCCAAAAACTCAACATAGAAAATACTGGTAAGAGGAAATGAATCAAGTGGTATATTCTTTTTCCTGTGAACCCAATTCATCACATCTACCAGCATTAGAGGAGCAGAAGTAGAGGGCATGTTTCCTCCTGGTGCTTAGTGTAAGCTGGCTGAAGCCTCATTTTGATTACTGACTCCTAGCCAGGTATCTGTTCCATAAAGGAAAAAAGAAGAGAAGAATCAGGGAGCTGATCTGGCCTCGTCCCTCTGTGGGTAGGCTTACCACTTCAGTGACATAAGTGTAGGAGGAAGAAAAGGGATCCATCCAGGGTTGGCAGGCTCTGAGTCTAGAGAAGTGTCATCCCCATCTCTCTCCACCCCTGCCCCCTGAAAAAACCACACACAGTTTCAACGGTAATACCTCCTGCATGTTGATGACTCAAATCTTTACCCCCTATTCACCCTGCCTTCTACCATTCTCTAACTATAGGGCAACTGTTGTCACTAGAATGTTCTTTATTACCCTCACATTCCTGACCCTTACCTTAAATGTACTGATATGAAAGAGCCTGAGAAATCAATTTTTACCAATGCTATAACAAACCTCATGATGGATTTTTTTTCCCATTTAAACATGGGATCTCAGATATAAAGATTATGGCATTTCCTAGAAACACATAGGTATTTAGCCAAAAAGCATGACCTAAAGAGATCTTTTTCCTTTGCCATTTAGATAATATTGTTAAGTACCTAGCATGATACATGTGTCATCAAAGTTCCTCAGTAACTGTTGATTTCCTCCCCTTTCATTTTTTTCCCCTTCAAAAGAAATTATGTAGCTTGAGAGATTTTATGTTCCTGTTGAAATGAAATTTTCTATTGACCTCATCTTCTTTCTTTCCTATAGTCTCCATTCTAGCTGAAACAGAAGAAATCAAGGCCATTTTAAAGAATAAGGGAATTGATGTGGAGACCATTGCTGAGGTATACCCCATCAGAGTACAACCAGCTCGTATTCTCAGCCACATTTATTCCAGCCTAGGTAAGGAGATTGGCCAATCTGCTAGAATTAAAGCATTATTCAATGCAGGCTGGTTTCCTTCCTTTTTTCCTTCTTGATCTTGCATTGCTTTATGAAATTAGATCTGAGAAGGAATTTAAGGTGTCTGGAATCCACATTTCTAACCCTTTATATCCTGAGAAGACTTGATAACTTTAGGGGTGTTTTATGGACACTTTAATACATACAACATGACTGTTATCAGAAAATATTTTATCTTCTATCCAAATGTGTGCTAACTAACATGTTCTCCCCTTTCTTTGTACCTATATTTATGTTTTGAATACATGCTCATTTTATGTATAGTAATAGCCAAGGAACTTGTTTTTAGGTCTTTAATACACTGTCATGTAATGAACTAGTTGATAGTATTTAAAAAGGCTTAATCAAATACTTATTTTTAATTAGTACTTATTTTTTATTAAATTTATATATTAAACTTAGTGATACACTTTTCACATTAAACAAATTACTACACTATTAAGTAAAAAAAGGATATGCAAAATTTCTAACCTATCTTTGTGGAAGGCTGAGTAATGATCCCCAAAGATATGCAGGTCCTAATCCCTGGAACCTATGAACATTACCTTATATGACATAAGGGTTTTTGCAGGTGTGATTGAGGAGCTTGAGATGGGGAGATTATTCTGGATTATCCAGGTGGACCCTAAATGTAATCACAAGTGTCTTTATAAGAGAGATCAGACTATAGAAGTAGGAGATGCAATGACAGAAACTAGAGATTAGAGTGATGCAGCTATGAACCAAGGATTGCCAAGGAATGCTCACATCCTCTAGAACTTAGAATTGGTAAGGAACAGATTCTCCCCTGGAGCTTCCAGAAGGAGCCAGCTCTACTGATACCTTGATTTTGGTTTTAGTCCTTTCAGACTCAGTATGGATTTCTGACCTCCAGAACTGTAAGAGAATAAATATGTATTTTTTTAAGCCACTAAATTCATGGTAATTTGTTACAGCAGCAATAGGAAACCAATATAGATATTGGTACTGAGAAGTAGAGGGCTGCTGTAACAAATATCTAAAAGTGTAGAAGCGGCTTTGGAATTGGGTATTAGATAGAGGATGGAAGATTTTGAGTCACATGATAGAAAAAGCCTACATTACCCTAAACAGACTATTGGTAGAAATATGGATGCTAAAGGCATTGCTGGTGAGGGCTCAGAAGGAAGTGGGGAGCACAATTTAGAAAGCCTTAATCATCTTGGAGAATGGTTAAATTGTCAGAAACAAACTGTTGGTAGAAATACAGACATTAAAGATTCTGCTGGTAAAGGCTAAGAAGCAAGTAAGGAACATGTTTTTGGAAACTTGAGGAAAGGGAACCTTTGTTATATAGTGGCAGAAAGCTTAATTAAATTGTGTCCTGTAGTTATGTGGAAAGCAGAACATGTAAATGATGAATTCAGATATTTAGCTGAGTAGGTTTTCAAGCCAAGTGTTAAAGTCATGGCCTGGTTTCTTCTTGCTGCTTATAATAAAATGAAAGAGGAAAGAGATAAAATTGAAGAACTGTTAAGCAAAAAGGAACTAAGACTTGATGAAATCCTCAGCCTATCCAGATTGCAAAAGATTCCAAAATTCAGATATTTGCTGTCAGGAAAGCATGCTCTGGAAAAGGAGTCAAGAGTATGGCTGGACGAAATTTTGCTAGTTGTCTTAGTCTATTTTCTGTTGCTGTAACAATACCTGAGACTGGATAATTTATAAAGAAAAGAAGTTTATTTGGCTCACAGTTCTGGAGGCAGGGAAGTCCAAGACTCGACAGTCCATCTGATGAGAGCCTTGTGCTACTTCAATTTATGGCAGAAAGAAGAAGGGGAAGTGGATGCATGCAAACAGACCAAAAATGAGAGGCAGTCTTGCTTTATAACAACCTGCTCTCACAGTAATTAATCCAGTTTCAGGAGAGCAAGAACTCACTCCCACAAGACTACATTAATCCCTTTATAAGGGCAGATCCCTCATGACCCAAACACCTCTTAAAGGTCCCACCAGTTCTCGGCACCGTTATATTGGTAATTAAATTTCAACATGAGTTTTGGCAAGGAAAAACCACATCCAAACCATAGCACTAGTGCTTTGGAAAGATCAAAAGATCAGAGTATTCATTCACACATAGAGCTCGTTGAAGAGATTAAGCATGTAAACTGATGGATCTCCCAAACTATCTCAGCAGAATCTAGGAACAGTGATAAGATTATACAGGAAAGATCATGGGTAGGACCCTCAGGCCTAATGGGGTGAACTTCCATGACATACATGCAAGACCCAAAAGGTTGTTTAGAATGTTATATCAGCAGAAACACTTCCAACTTGGACTGAAAGGGGCAGAGAGAAGACAAGATGAAAGAAAGCTGTTGGACTCCCAAAATTCTACAATCCAGAAGCAGGTTGATAAAACTACTCAGCTGCAAACATGTGCTACCCTTCAAGAAAAAGGAGGGATGATTCCAGGGTAAGAGCCTCAGGCCCAGAGAGTGAAGCCTCAGGTAATCAGAGGATTAGTACCAGGCTTTGAAACCTAATGGAGTTTACCAAGTTGAATTTTAAAATTTCTTGGGGCTGCTGACTCCTTACTTTCTTCCATTTTCTTCCTTTTGGAATGGGAATATCTATAATTTGTATCCTATGCCTGTCCCACCATTGTATTTTGAGAACAGAAAACATGTTTTCTAGTTTAAAAGGTCTGCAGATGTAGAGGAATTTTGCCTCGGGATGGATCAAAGTCAGATTCTGACCATAACTGATTAGATGATGAGATTTGTACTTTTGAACTGATGATACTTAGAAGAGATTTTGGACTTGAATTGGTAATGTAATGTGCTGAAAGTTTTGAGGATGTTGGGATGGGGTAAATGTATTTTGCATGTGGGAGGGATGTGTATCTTTAGGGACCAGAGGGAGAGAGTGGACTGTGGAATTCTGAATAATGGCCTCCAGATATATCCAGGTTCTAATCCTCGGAACCTAAGAATGTTACGTTACATGGCAAAAGGGACTTGGCAGATGTGATTAAGTTAAAGCTTTTGAGATGCGGGAGATTATCCTGAATTATCCAGGTGAGCCCTAAATGTAATCACAAGTGTCCTTATAAGAGGAATCAGAGGAAGATCAGACCATAAGAGTCAATGTAACAACAAAAGCAAGAGATTAGCGTGCTAAAGCCAAGGAATGTTTCCATCCTCTAGAAGTTGGAAGAGGCAAGGAATGGATTCTTTCCCAGAGTCTTTAGAAATAATCAACCCTGCTGACATCTTGATTTTGATTTTAGCCCCGTAATGGTCATTTTGGACTTCTGATCTCCAGAACTATAAGAGTATACATTTGTGTTGTCTTAAGCAACTAAATTTGTGGTAATTTGTTACAGCACCAATGGGAAATTAATGCAATCTTAAACCAAGCCACAAGGGGGTAGAATTTATAAATAAAAGTTGCATCTTAGTGGATTGCCACTTACAAACACAGAGCCTGGTTTGTGTATATATGTGTGCGTGTACTTTTTTCTTATCACCAAGAGTGGTCTGTTGGTAATTACAGCTCTGCCAAATCTTGCCAAGCTTAAAACCAGCCTCCTTCCTTTTTACTAACACCTAACTCCAGTCACTCAATTTCTACATCAGTTATGTAGGTCTAAGTGAGAGGGGATCAACCAAGGAGGAAAGGGCCAACAGTCAGAGCTGACTTTTCTCTGTCTCTCCTAGGCACCCGTGTTTTATGACAGCGAGGCCTGAACTCCTTGGGTTCCAGAACTATTATCATTGCATCCAGCTTTAGGAGTATATAGATTTCTCTCCTCTTCCATTCTAGCTATGATGTAGAAAATTCCTTTTCCTTTTATTTCAAGTGAGATGAAATTGGAATTTTCTAAAGAAACCATGCTAAAAAAAAGCAATGGAAAACTAAACTATAAACACATAGAAATTAATAAGTTTGTGTCTCAGATCCTAATTCATTTCTAATATTTAGCCACAAACTAGCTTGAATATTATGAAATACTGAGTCCCTGGTTCCCTCCCCTTACCACAGCCCTATCTGAGGTAAATACTAATACTCGGAAACTTCCGCAGTTGATTTGGGTTGATGCTTTGCTAGGTGGGATGCATACCCCAGTCCTTTCCAGAACCTGCTTTCTGTTTTTATCTCCTTAGCCATTCCTACTAGCCCTAGACTATAATGCACTTCTGGTCTCCAGATACCAGTCCACTAGCACTATATCCTTTGAGATAAAGAAGACATTTCCCTATCTAGGCAAAATCTGATTCCCCATGAGTATTAGTTGATCTTGTAGTCACCTTCTTTGTCCCTCTTGGAAGTCCCTGTAGTTCTGGGTTAATATAAGCCCTAATGGTGACTTTGACCTGATTCTCTCTGGCTCTCACTCAAAAGTTTTTGTTAATTTTACCCCTTGCTTCCTCACATGCATTGGTCTAAATCAGCATAATCTTACTAAAAATGAGGTAACCTCCAAGTCCTGGGCCATCAGTCCTGGAATCTGCCTGTATCACATCAGATCTTTCCAACAAACGGAAGCAATCTCCTTACTGTTTACTTTTTCAAAGCCTACACTTCATTTTAGGCCTCTTACTAAGTTCTTACTTCCTAGCCAAAGGAAATAAGGACTGATGGGTCCTGAGTTTAATGAATGTTCACATATTCCAGGGACTCAAGTAACAAGATACATTTATTTTCCCAATATGCTCTTTCATTTGCTTCATTCATTCATTCATAAGCATTTATTGCTCACTTATTGTGTACCAGGAACTGAGCTAGATGCTGTGGGAGACATAGACATGTGACCAAATGATCATAATACAATCTTATAAATGCCGTAACAATGGTGTTATGTACAAAGTACAGGAGAAAGGGGATAGAATTGCATGGAGAAGTCAGGAAAAATATGCTAGATGAGGTAACACTTGATAACTTCAGTCAAATGAGTGACTCCAGAACTCTATTTTCAC